ACGACTCGAAAAGAAGGTGAAAAAAAAAAAAAAAAAAAAAAGAAAAAAAAAGAAAAAAAAGAAGAGAGAGAGGAAAAAAGAACGTCAGGAATGAAAAGAGTATCGTTTTTTATCCCCCAAAGTAAAATGTATTGTTTGGAACATTTGCAACGTTGTTCCTTTTGAAATAATTTCTCTCTCTCCGTTTATCAGAGATTATCTAATCTTTTCAGAAACGAATCGTATCGACACCGCTCCTCTCTTGAAGAAAACTTTCGAGTTTTGCATATATTCTTGGTTCGTAATTATTTAACCAAAACGTATAGTCGATGTTACTTAGTCGTATTAACTCCGCTCGACGCGAAGGAAAGTATTCGTGCCGGGTCGTCACGAAGACGAAGAACTTAATGAGGAAGCGTCGGGCGTATTCAGTCGATTCAAGCAAATTTCTCGCGTGCCGGCTTAATTTTATCCAACATTTCTTCCTCGCGCATACACGCGCCTCTCTATACCGCGTAACCGCCTTCCGAGCGACGCCTTTTCCAACCGTTAAACAAATTTCGTTCTATTTACTCTATCAATCTAGTCAAAAGCGACTTGGACCGTGACGGTCATCAAGTTTAGGTCGAGATTATTTTAATTTTAAAGCAGAACCACTCGACCGAAATGAAACGTACGATTCGTCGAAGGATTCATGGAAGAAAATATTAGAAGAGATTCGATCCAGTTTCTTTCCCCCGTCGATTGGAAAATTTTTCCACACGGCCGAAAGCCGATTTACGCGAAAAAAAAAAAGAAAGAAGGAAAGAAAGAAAAACGGCGGAGCCGAATGGAAAATAAATATTTGAGGCTCGACTGCGCGCAGCTTAAGACACCGAGCATGGAGTTCGCGCGATGCATTGTTTCACAAGATCGTAGAGAGGCCTCTTTACACCACCCCGGCTCCGCGTTGCTTCCTGCTCCCGGCTTTTTAAGTACGCTTATTTACCGCAAGCCGTCGAACCAATCGCTTTGCGCGTTGGAGGACGTCGACGTAGTAAGTAACCGCACTGGATCCTAATAACACGAAGAAAATGGTGTTGCGACATAATAGTCCCAACTAATAGAAAACGTCGTGGATATTGCTTCTTATCGCGTGCTTATTCCACAAATATAATCAGTATGGATTCACAATTGATTCAGGTGAGTCAAGTTAATGTCAAGTTGACCGATTCGTATAAGAATCGGAAAGGAGATAAAAATCTTGATAAAATTTAGGAAAATTAACAGTTTTAGCATCGAAATATTATTATACGCGTTGTGTAACTTTTTAGTAGAAAAAGATATCTGATCGGTATAGATTTTTCTCTGGAACACATCTTCCAGTCGAAAACGAATCGAAGTGGTACGATTGTTTCGCATATTTCGTGAAAAAGAAAAAAAAAAAAAAGAAAAGGAAGGCCAGGTTTCGAATATTTTTTATACTCGTCACGTAAGGATTCGTGGCGTATCCTTGGCGTGAGAATGATCGATATTAGACGCGGCGGGAAGCGTCAGGATGGCTAAGTAGGAGGCTGTAACCGAATCGATTAATCAAATCCAGTTAGCTATTACGGGACCAGCGGGACACGTTTGCCCTCTACCCTGATATATTCCCGGCTTCCTGGCGACCGATGCTTCTCTCTCTCTCTCCTCTAATTTGTCCTGGATCTAATCCGTTCGTAGTGCCCTCGAATATCGTGGGATGTCGCGACCTCCCTCGGGAGCCAAGCTAGGGAGACGCCGTGTTTGCGCATACAGCCACTTCACAACCAATTGTTTTTAATCTTCTCGACGAGAGAACTCGTCGCAAGATTACGCGTCCTCGTACGAATTGACCGACACTCCGTGAACGCTCTTTATTCGATTCAATATCGAG